TACTTGGCATCAGGGAGTAAATAAGAAGTTTTTCTGCCTATATAAGTGTTCATAACGTAATTCAGAAACCATATGCAGATGCTAATGAGCATTGTCGGTGTATCACAGATGGAAGGCATAGTTCAAGGCTTTGTTTTGTAGACAATATTTGCTCCATGACAGAATCACTTGTATAGCCATCCACCCTCCTACAGACAAAACAGAATAAAAAAGTACCACTGGTTTCAGATTATTTAAATTAGATAAGCATAGGCCGGGCGCGGTGGCTCAAGCCTGTAATCCCAGCACTTTGGGAGGCCAAGGCAGGTGGATCACGAGGTCAAGAGATCGAGACCATCCTGGTCAACATGGTGAAACCCCATCTCTACTAAAAATACAAAAAATTAGCTGGGCATGGTGGCACGTGCCTGTAATCCCAGCTACTCGGGAGGCTGAGGCAGGAGAATTACCTGAACCCAGGAGGCGGAGGTTGCGGTGAGCCGAGATCGCGCCATTGTACTCCAGTCGGGGTAAGAAGAGTGAAACTCCGTCTCAAAAAATAAATAAATAAATAAATAAATTAGATAAGCATTCAATGCAGCAGGTGAGTCTTCTTCAGAATTTTCTAAGGAAGAAGGGATACTTTGTCTCAGAGAAAAAAAAAAAAAAAAAAGGCAGATAAATCCAGCGAGCAACAGAAATGGCAGGCGCTTTCGTTTGGAGCCTTTAGACTTCCCACCAAGTCTTTGAAGGCAAGCAGGGAGTGGGCACTGCGGTATCTCACAGAATTTTTTTCAGCCCATAGTTTTCTGATGTAGCAGGCTGTAAGAATTCAAAGCACTAAATTCCCACGGCTCAGAAAAGTATATTTACTTCCTGTAAATAAACCCTTGATTTTTCACCCTGGCGGATTTTTCTTTCGATGAAGGCAGTCATTTTATCTAGTCCCTTCGGCCTTGGTGCATGCACACGGCATCTGCATTAGGAAGGAGACTCAATAAGGAAAGCTTGTTCCATGCTGTCCCCAAGCAATCATCACAGCACTCACGGGGGCCGCAGGAGAATGAATGGATGCACACAGAGGGCAGTGAGCACTGTCGGCAACCATTAGACGGAAAAATAAAGCAACAAAGGAAAGGAAACACATCCCCCGCCCCGGGCCCGGTGAGGGCAATAACAGCCGCAAGAAAAAACGTGAGTCCCAACCACAAATTTTATGGCAACCTTAAGGCCATTTTCAAAATATACTTCTTATCCTCTGGGTGGGATTTTCTCAAGTCATAGAGTATGTGATGCCGCTGAGATTTTCGAGTATGTCTTCAATCCAGAGTTTCCATTCACAACTATGAAATTCACATTTTTGCATCAACTTGCCTGCTTCTGTGCTGCTTTCATCCACTTTTTATTTGTTTATGGTCACTCGGCGAATACTTACGGGAAAATGTACTATATGCCAGTCATTTTTCTAAGCCTACAGGCACAGAGGTAAACAAAGCGGCCTGCATTCATAGAACTTCATTTCATGGGGAAAGGCAGACAAAGAAACAACAACATCAAAATGCAATGGAGAATAATAACTGTGATGAACATAAAACAGTGCTGAGAACCTGGTTTAGATTAGAAGTCGAAGAAAGGTCTCTGTGGTGAGGTGGTGCTTGAACTGAAAAGAAAACACAAAGAAGGTAGACAAATAAGAATGTGGAAGAGATTCTCAGGCAAGAGGAAGAGAGGATGTGCTTAGCAGAGGCAGGAACGCGAGCAAGGTCAGTGAGGGAGCGTGCAAAGTGTGACACGTGCACACTTTGAGAGAATGTTAGAGAGAATGTGGGGCAGGTGATGGGGGCCTAATAGGGAAGAACTGGGAGTGTGAATTTTATGCCAAGGGAAGTCATTTGCAAGTTAAGTGGAAGAGGAGTGTGATCGGATTTACATTTATAAACATCATTTTCTTCTCAATGTTGAAGGATAGTAGGAATACAGAATGGTGGGCTTGGGATAGTCTAAGGACCCATTTCCCTCCTTAAATCGAGAAGGTAATGTCCAAATTTAATCTGTTTCCTAGAATTATCTAAGAAATAATGACATATCAAGATAACCATACTTTAGTCGCTAATAAATGACTGTGACTTAACTAAGATTAGATAAGCTTAAATGCGATAGGGTATATGATATCATAAAAGGAGTAAGATTAATTTTTTATCAAGCAAAAATGAATATAATTTATCTACAATCTGCTACTAAATAATAATTGCAGTTGGTCCTAACCCTTAGAGAAGCTGTGGGGAACAAGAAATATATTTTTGCACCAAGTCAGCTGAGATGGAGAAAGTGTTCCGGAGAACAGACTACAGATACACAACCCAGAGAGAAATGCTGGTTATACAACCAATTGTTCTTCAGAGCACTCGCAAGGACACCCAAGAATGGGGAACAGTGTAGGCACCAGTGACATCATCTTTGCATTTAGAAAATAACTTTTGGTTGTTTTATTTATATAGGAATCACCTCTTCTGGAATTAAGGGCATGGCGGTGGAGAGCGCCTGGTCAAGGGCTCTTTGCCCTCGGCACTCAACAAGGAGGTAGTCGGGTTCCAAGTTCCATAGTCTAAGATGTCTGACAATATCAAATTATCTCACTATGTCTTTTTCCCCAACTTTCAATTTCTACTGAAAATCCAAAGACCATTAGTTTGCATTTATGATGGCTAGAATGACCGCATCTAAGATGGCGAGCTAGAAATAACTCATCAGGAGGCCAAACGCAGTGGCTATGCCTGTAATCCCAGCACTGTGGGAGACAGGGTGGGTGGATCACTTGAGCCCGGGAGTTTGAGACCAGCTTGGGCAACAGAATGAGACCTTGTCTCTGCCAAAATAAAATAAAATAATCAAAAAATTAGCTGGTCATGGTGGCACATGCCTGTAGCCCCAGCTACTCTGGAGGATGAAATCGGGGGATTGCTTGAGCCCAAAAGGCCAAGGCTGCAGTCAATTGTGATCATGCCATTCTTCTCCAGCCTGGGCAACAGAGCAAGACTTTGTCTCAAAAATAAATAAACAAATAAAATAAAGAAGGAAGGAAGAAAGGAAGGCAGGCAGGCAGGCAGGAAGGAAGGAAGGAAGGAGGGAGGGAGGGAAGGAAGGAAGACTCACCACATATGAGCTACGTGTTCAGAAAACAAACAGCTGCCTCCTCTCAGAAACAGCTACCTTAAAATCCATTGATACTCTAGGCATAGGACAAAACTGGAGAATATGAGAAATGGTTTTGCATGAATGAGCACAGGGTACCACATACGTATAATGAAACATCTTTAGAGAGTTTGGACAATTCATCTTTCTTTCTATCTCAAACCCGTAGCACTTAGAAACCACTAGATGGCACAATTTATTTTTTCTTTTCTGTTTTTATTTTTATTTTTTCTTCAGGAAACAGTCCTCACAGAAAACTGGCAGTAAAAATCACCTTATTCTCTGTGCTGCTTTAGGAAAGTTAATATTCTTTATATTCTCTGAAGAAGCATAAGCAGGATCAATTCATTTTCCAAATACTGACGAATGGCTGAATATGTGAGAGTGCATCTGCATTTCTTTCTTTTCTTTTTTTAATTTTAAGACTTTATTCTATGGAAATAAAGTATACACCCAACGAAGACTTAATTACAAGGAATGTTCCTGGCTACACTAAAAAATATAATAAGGAACCGGTCATGGTGACTCATGCCTATAATCCCAGTACTTCTGGAGGCTGAGGTGAGAGGATCGCTTGAGCCTAGGTGTTGGGAGACCAGCCGGGCAACATGGTGAAACCCCATTGCATCTGCATTTCTACTAACCACAAGGAAGTTTGAGGAATTGGTATTCCTAACACTGATTTCACACGTGATTCTGTGGGCCTCTTTTTCCCAGTGATCTTTGTCTCCTCTCTTCCTCTCTTCACTTTAATTAATGTTGGGGCACCCTCTGCATCCCATATAGCCAACAGGCTGCCAAGATCCATCTGCTCTTCCGTCAGATCAGCTCTGAGCTTCATCCCTCCCTCTTCATTCCTGCTGCTAAAATCCTAACACAGAGCTGAAACTCTCCTTAGTTTTTCCCAATTACCATTCTCTTCCTTCATTCTCTCCTGTACATGGAGATGCAATCGATATTCTCAAAATACTGCTTCACCATGTCTTCGTATTATGAAAGGCCTTATATTCCTCTTCTAATATCATTTGAAAAAAGACCAAGCTCTCATCTTGACATTAAATTCTTTCCATTATTTTTTGCTGCACCCACTGTATCTTCTCCTACGACCTACCGTAAACACTCCTCGCCAATCAACCCACATCATACTTTTGCAAAACATGATTCTAACCATTACGGTGGGATTGGGATTGGTTGGCTGGCTGGTTGGTTGGTTGGTTGGTTGGTTATTTGGTTAGTAAAGTGTTACTACAGTGTCTTGATTAAGAGTGAGGAGATTCTGTAACCACCATTCTGTAATCATCAACCAGAGTTGATATTTTACCTCTGCCATATACTATTATAACTTAAGGTGAGTTACATCTTAAGGCTTCAGTTTCTTCATTTATGGAATGGAGACAATGCTGGTACCTCACTTACAGAGTTATTATGAGGATTAAAGGAGGTAATAGTTCAACCTCTTTCAAATGCCTGGTCCCTGTTAAATGCTCATTGTATGTCATCATCCCTTACCTTTTTTCCCAGAGTTGTATCAAAAAACTCACAAAGCTGCGTAAACGTAAATTGACTCTGCCATTCAGACTTCTAGGTTCTCTTACAATCTACACAGTGAAATTATGTGCTAAATTTCTAAACAATGAGAACACATTTCACTCTGGCCTGTGCCAAATACATTGTTCCAGGTACACGGAAGTATTTTAACAAGCTTTAGTAAATCTCACACGTGTTTAATTCTAAAACACATTGCTGCTGAACAAGCTTTCTCTGGATTAGAGTATGCTGAGCCAGTGTTTTATTTCTATTGTAGGAGGAGAAATATTTGGTGGTGGCTCATGGAGTTTCCCTTTACCAACCTGGAAATGGCATTCATTTTATTGGCTTTTGTTATCTTTTCCTTATTTACCCTGGCTTCCATCTACACTACTCCGGATGACAGTCATGAAGGTAAAGGAAGAAAAAAAAAAAGAAAGTTCTTTATGGCTACTGTGTACTTTTCCCTCCCTATCATCTTGCTGTGTGTTCAAATTTGATTGGCTTTCTATCCTCTGTGTGAGGATAACTTCGTTTTTTGTTCTGTGGCTTGTGTGTGCATATGTGTTCATTCAACTAAATATAAGAAGAAAAAAGATTAGAATTTTTTAATGAGTTCTTGGTAAAGCCCAGCCTTTTTAAAATATATATGTAGAAGTATTTTTAAAACCCAATATCACATTTTTTACTCATTGCCAGTAATAACAATTGTTAATAAGAGAAATATATAGTTTAAATGATTCTGCTGAGTAGTTCAGAACTCACCACATTTCAGATAAAATTGATAACAGTGGGGGAAATGATACATTTGGGGACCAAAAATTTATATTTATTTGTATGTATGTGTGTGTAAATATATGATAAGGAAATTATTTATATTCATAAAGAATAAGATAAAATCATAAAAAGTCAATTTTATTTGTGCTTCCTAGCTTATACCCAACTCCATCATTCTTGACTATAAAGTAAGTGCTGTCTGTGAATTAAAAATCTATTCTCTGTCCTACAGACACACAACACTATCATAACTAGGAAACAAAAAGCCGCAGTAAATGGACATTCCAGTTCATGCTAACTCGTAAATTGGGAAACATAATTGGAATCCTTAAAACCTTTTTCCTGCTCACAGTTGTTTCCACTGTGTTAGTTTAAAATGGGTTTGGGGCCGGGCGCGGTGGCTCACGCCAGTAATCCCAGCACTTTGGGAGGCCGAGGCGGGTGGATCACGAGGTCAAGAGATCGAGACCATCCTGGTCAACATGGTGAAACCCCGTCTCTACTAAGAATACAAAAATTAGCTGGGCATGGTGACGCACGCCTGTAGTCCCAGCTGCTAGGGAAGCTGAGGCAGGAGAATTGCTTGAACCCAGGAGGCGGAGGTTGCGGTGAGCCGAGATCGCGCCATTGCACTCCAGCCTGGGTAACAAGAGTGAAACTCTGCCTCAAAAAAAAAAAAAAAAAAAAAAAAAAAAAAAAAATGGGTTTGGCCGTAAGGAAGAGTATAACCAAAATAGCAGTTACTATAACTACATAATGATGTATTTCTCTCACCAGGACAGGCAGCCTGGAGGTAGTGAGTTCAAGGTTGGCCTGGCATGTCATAACATCTTGGAACCAGGTTACTTCTACCTTGGTTCTTTTCATCTTCAACCTAAATTTTTGTTTATTTGTCTTTTGAGACAGAGTCTTGCTCTGTCGCCCAGGCTGGAGCTCAGTGGTGTGATCTTGGCTCACTGCAACCGCTGCCTCTCGGGTTCAAGCAATTCTCTGCCTCAGCCTCCCAAGTAGCAGGGATTACAGGCGCCTGAGCCATGCCTGGCTAATTTTTGTATTTTTAGTAGAGATGAGGTTCCACCATGTTGGCCAGGCTTGTCTTGAACTCCTGACCTCGTGATCCACCCTCCTCGGCCTCCCAAAGTGGTGACATTACAGACATGAGCCACTGCACCCGACCTCTTCAACCTAAATTTTAAGAATCCACTCAACCTGGGAAAAAAAATGGTTGTCTCATTTTGGTGACTTAAAAATTGACAAAAAATGAAATTATTTACCAGTAGTAGAAATCAGAATGATGCAGGGATGACTTTTCCAGTTTAGTATGCTGTTTGCTGTCTGTCTTATTTGCCTGTAAGCATAAAGCTAATGGAAATGTGTATTAGGAGCTATATTAGTTCATTATCGCACTGTTATAAAGAAATACCTGATACTGGGTAATGTATAAAGAAAATAGTTTTAATTTGCTTATAGTTCTGCAGACTGTATAGGAAGCATAGTGGCTTCTGCTCCTGTGGAAGCCTCAGAAAACCTCCAAACATGGTGGAAGGCAAAGGGGTAGTGAGTCATCTCACATGACCAAAGCAAGAGGAAGGGAGAGAAGGGAGGGGAGGTGCTATACACTTTTAAACAAGCAGATCTCATGAGAAGTCACTGTCATGACGATAGCACCAAGAAACATGGTGTTAAATCATAAGATGCTGCCCCCCACGACACAATCACCTCTCACAAGGCCCCACCTTCAACACTGGGGATTTCATTTCAACATGAGATCCGGGAGGGGACACAGATCCAAACCGTATCAGGAGCCTTCCATGAAAAAGGCAGAACACGAAGCATTTCAGGTGCATTATTGTGTTTAATCTTAAGACAATCCCATGAGATGAGTAATTATAACTTCACTATTTCACAAGTAAGAATAATGGAGTTTTCCACTTTATCATAGATCACTCAGCTAATAAGACAGAGAACCAGAAGTTGACCTCCAGCTTAGAGGACTCCAGAACCCGGACTGTGCCTAACCAGCACACTTTTGCTTCAAATAACCTTGAAAAAAATACTTAGCTTTAAAAAAAAATGCATATATACTTCTCTTTCTTTCTGTGAAGGGCTTAAATTGGCTAAAAATGACATAACAAGACATAACTTACTTTCTAATAAGTAGATAAAAGCATCCAGGCCAAAAGAAAAATTAAAGTAGGAAAAAAATGGGTGAACTTGATATGGAGAAGGAGGCTGGCATGCCATTGCAGCACAGAGGACAAATTTGTGATTAGTCACTCCTGGATTCATGTCCTGGCTCTGCCATTGGGTAATTCTGCCTTTGGGAATATCATACAAATTCTCAAAGCCTCTGTGTTAGTCTGTTCTTATGCTGCTAATAAGGACATATTCAAGACTGTGTAATTTATAAAGGAAAGAGATTTAACAGACTCACAGTTCAGCATGGCTGGGGAAGCCTCAGGAAACTTACAATTGTGGTGGAAGGGGAAGTAAACATGCCCTGCTTCACTTGGTGGCTGGAAGAAGAATGGGTGAAGCTGGGGGAAAGCCCCTTGTAAAACCATCAGATCTCGTGAGAGCTAACTTACTATCAGGAGAACAGAATGGAGGTAACTGCCCCCATGATTCAATTACCTACACCTTGTCCTCCCTCAACATGTGGGGATTAGGGCAATGCAATTCAAGATGAGATTTGGGGGACACAGCCAAACCATGTCAGCCTCCATTCCTTCATCTGTGCATTGGGATAATAATAGTTCCTTCCCTGCAGAGTTGAAGTGAAAATTCAATAAAATAAAGGGTGTAAAATGCAGAAGGGTGACTATTACTGGAGTCTTCTTGGGAGTCTTCATGATTAGGAATTTAGATATAGCAATAGGGGTCATCATCATGAAAAATATTTATTGCAAATCCAATACAATTTGTATTCACTTAATCCACACACCGGGCCAATGTCTATGTTTTAAATGTCTAGTAATACAATCTATTCCACACAAATCAATTACAAGGTGACATCACATACATCACAAAAAATAAAAATCTCATGGAAGGTAAAGTTAGGGCCACTGGAATCCTTCAGGCAACACCACTGACAAATGGGTGTTTAGTAGAATTAGACTACCTATCCAACAAAGAAGAGATGGGTTCATAAGTACTCCAAAATAGTGTGAAGTGAATGCCAAAGAAGTGAAAGACATCTCAGAAAATTGACAATGTATTGAGTACTTTTTGCTAATAGCATCCTCTATAGAATTGTGCTATGAAAATCACGAGTAACAAGAAGAGTATTTTATGGAGTCATGATGCCAATGTGTCAGAAAAGTGATGCTCCCCAACCCACCCAAATCAACATCTCATCCAGTCTTTGTCTAAAATTAACTTATAGCTGCAATCACAAACTGCATTTTTATTAAATGAATGACATAATTTTATTTTCATTATTTTTAGTTTCAAGTTTCAATATAAAATTTCATTCAAAGTTGTTGTTTTTTTTTAAATTTTCTATTAAATTTTGCCCTGGCTCAAGTAAATTCACTTTAAATGATCTACTCCAGTGCCATTTATTCTCCAATTAAAAAGAAATTTCCTGTTACAGAATTATACCCTCAGAAGTGTTTAGTCAACATCAGTTATCATCCAAGGGTGTAGCTGGAGGCATGCTCTTAAGTCTCTTCACTTGCGGGAAAGGGCCAGACCCTTGGTTCTTTTCTTTCTTTAAAGCCAGTGCAGAAGAGAAAACCTGAAAACACTGAACTTTATCTGAATTCTGTGCTTCTAGAAAGCAGCTATAGTCAAGAAATTCCTCCAACTTTTTCTGAAATCTCCATACTCTTGTTTTCCAGGAAATGGCTTAAGGAAAAGAACTACCCTCCCTCTTATGACGTAGATAAGACTCACTGTCCACTCTCTCCTGACATCCCTAAGACCCATGAAGACTCCCTTGTTTACCTGGGACTTGGTCAAATACAGACCTTTCCTTTTTTGTCTGAAGCTGCAGATGAGAACAGACACAGACCTTTCGACTCCTTGTTTTTTGTCTCACGAATAATTTAGCTGAGATTTGAACTGTTTGTACTTCTAAAACTAGCCACATAGAGCTAAACATTAGCCTTACAGCTATTTGAGACTTCTCCTGATTGCAAAATAATTCCAACTGTAAATCATCTCAACTCTAATTTTTCTATGCCTCTCTATAAAAGTCTAAAGTAAAACTACCCTGCCACGCTACTGTGATCTCTGGATTTGAGGTGTTCTCCCTATAATAATAGCTTGAATCAAATCAGTCTGCTTATTTGTGCACACCTGTGTGTATGGGTGTGTGTGTGTGTGTGTGTGTTTGACAAAATACAATCTGCTCCCTGTATATGATAATCTGTTGTAGATATGATTTAAAAAAAAAAAAAAAGATTGTAGTTGCTTAGTAGGATTACAACTATCTGTGGCACAGAGAAAAGAGACACTGGCTCACTAGAAAAGAATCACATGGCCGGGCGCGGTGGCTCAAGCCTGTAATCCCAACACTTTGGGAGGCCGAGGCGGGTGGATCACAAGGTCAAGAGATCGGGACCATCCTGGTCAACTTGGTGAAACCCCGTCTCTACTAAAAATACAAAAAATTAGCTGGACATGGTGGTGCGTACCTGTAATCCCAGCTACTCAGGAGGCTGAGGCAGGAGAATTGCCTGAACCCAGGAGGTGGAGGTTGCGGTGAGCCGAGATCGTG